GCTACATTTTCGGCATCTCAATTTACTGTGAGACCATGATCATTGGAACCGATATAGTTGAAAACCCGTAAGGGTCATATTTAAGCTCGAACAGACACTCCAAGAAGACGTTATAGGAAAAAGAGTGAAACAGGAGGGGCCGCACGCTATTCCCGTGCGGCCACCCTGCAACTCCACGCCATGGAAGGGACAGTCACGACTAGTGACTTCGATGCTCATATCTCACCCGTCCCAAGTCGAATCGCGCTCAAATTTGGTGAGCATGTTCAGCTAGTCGAGACGAGCAATTCAATATGTGACACATCCGATGATGACAACCAAGTGCGAAGAAAAGTTAGAGAGAAGTTGCTAATCTGTGAAGAAAGTGCCACAAATTCGATCGCGTTGTGTCTCCCTCATGCGGCTAGATCACGCCACTCGCGATCTTGATCGATGCGACACCAATTTCATTGTGGGCATAAGGTCTTGGGCTATCACTAACCCAAACCCTATAAATGATGAATGGTTGGATTCTGCACACGAGCCAACTGCAAATTCTGTTGCCGAAAATCTGGATTTCAACTAAAATTCCAAAGTTGTGAAATCTTCGTTTGGGCATGGAATCGAGCTGCGTTTGTTGCCCTGCGATCATGACGGCATGTTCAGTGTAGTTCAGTGACGAAATCATCAAACAAACATCAAGAAACGAGTACACTATCGATCCGAAGTTTCAAGATCCATTCAAATTTCAAGTCACATGATCGTGCACTAGAAATACGATCCATGGCTCGAAGTTGGTATCAAACTGATTTTCATTCCAAGCCCTACAAGAAAACAATCATATTACGATCAACCAGGCATCAAAAAGACCTCAGATCATGCATGCAAGATCACGCAAGATCTAGGGCAACACATGGACTGTTCTGAAATTCCATAAAATGTTAGGAAGGGGCAAATCTGCAGAGCCATGTTGTCTGTTGAGATTAAATTCATAGTTGCTCTGTTGACTAGGTTAATTTTTAGTTCGTACTTGGATTAGTATGCTCTGCGTCTGCGTAGCTGGACTATGATATCTCACATCAAAAAACAGAGTACAAATTAAAGGTTAATTTGTGATGATGTTATTCCACTGTCAATACTTTCTTCTTAGGTTTACTTAACAGGGGCTCTGAAGTCTGCAAGAAGGCTTGGAAAGGAGTTCATACTTTGTAAACAAAATCAGGAAAGTTGGCCTTAACCGACCTTTGTTTTACAATTACAATCAACTTTGTAAATTCTTTAAAATGGCAGATGAAAACGTCTCAGATACTTCTTTAGACCTCACCTCTTCTTCTGGCTCAGATTTAGAACCAATGTTTTCAAAACAAGAACACCTTTTTGAAATAACCTATACCCCAGAAAAGTTTTCTGAAACTCGTTCACAATTAGTTAATCGTTATCATGTTTATGATAAGTCTAGCTTAAATTCGACTAAACGAATCAAGAAACTTTGTGAAAAAAAAAATCCAGAAGCCATCAAAGAATATGTTCAAGCCTCTTCTTTTGACCAACACCATATTACATCCTATTTTCTATTTTCTTTCTCCCTCTGTTCTATATCTTTGTGAGGACTACAGACGGTGTTGCTCATCGCCGTCTGCAGATATATCCTAAGTGCCTCATCGAAGGACGCGGGTAACGAAGCCTATTGTCGTCCGCAGGGGCTTCACCCTATCTTGTGACCATTGTAGGTGGCAAACCATTGTAGGTGGCAAATACCCATCGCCGTCCACAAAGCGTCGAGGCAATACTCGTCGTCGTGCGCTGGCTTCTTCTGTGCTTCCATGTGCGCACTACGAGAAATAATCGCCATGAGACTTATGAGAAGTTATCGTTGTGAGCCTCGTTAAGAGCCTTCCCTGTTCACTAGGGACATGTCGCCTCCTCGTGCTGCCAACGGCGATGCTCATTACCTTCTGGATTCTTCCTTCCTCTGCCGTCTCTTCCTCTTCTCTTCATCATTTTCTCTTCTAACTTGACTAAGGGTAGATCTAGCTTAGCACCGCCATCTCGGTCTCGGTTTTGAATAGTATTGCCATCATGCAGGTCTTGAGGATCATGCCTATCTTGCTACCACTCCGAGTCGATAATTGTCCGAATGTCATACTAGCTTCATCTCTCCGTCGATTTTTTCTTCTCTTTTTTATGTTTCATCATGCTCTCATATATGAACGTATGTTGCCCTAAGACATGGGTGGGTCTCCTTAAACCACATGTCTTACAAATTAACTATAGAAGTGTTACGCAGAAAACAAGAGGATTGCAGGTCAAGGGAGGCCATTCCGAACCAGCTAAAGTAACTGGGGGCTATCTTCGTGATCTAAGAGGGCAGTCACGTGAGCCAGCTCGAGTAAGTCTCAAACCCACCTAAAATTCCTCTCTCATTAGTTGGTATACCTGCCCTTGCTCTCGAGCAAGATTCTGAGAGAGCGATCTCAAACCCTGGGTTCAACAGAAACCCAAGGTACGTGTTGCTGGATCATCTAAATTAAGAAGGCGAGATCGAGACACCTAACCAGCTTGGCGACTCCACTGGGGACTTATCAGCCCTTAGTCCGTTCGCTCTTGTTTGACCAGTATCCTCTTTTACTTTCTACACTTATTTCTATGGAATCTGGGTTGTTCAACCCATTTATCCGGGTCGGGGGTTTCCTTATCCCCGCACTCATGGCAGTTCCGAGGAAGCTAGCTGCTCAAGTCTCCTTCCCCACCCTCTTCCTGAGTCAGGACTCACGATTCAACTCTCAGGTTCTCACCTAGATCGGTGCGAGAGGGGACTTAAAGGTCGCTTCCTCCTCGCTTTCTCGCCCTGGTGGACTCTCCACCAAGGCCCCTTACATGGGTAGCACACTTGCTGCCGCGCACCCTACTACTGGGAAGTCTACTGTCAGTCATATTGCTAAGGCACTCTGAAAGGCTGCCCTCATCACTCTCGTTAAAGGCAAGCAAGTTGTCGTCGCTCCTGAGGTTCATCGAAAGGCAACCCCTTATGCTCCTTCATCACCCCGAACCTCCACACCTGGAGATTCAAGACATAGAGGCGAAGGTATTAAGATCTCCACCCCTCGCACACACCCAAGGGCTCATAGTTCATCCACTTGAGCCACACCACGGGGAAACCCTCACATTGCCTTAAACTCGCATTCAGGGCTAGGAATTTTTGGGTTAAACCCTGCATACGCCATGCATTTGCTTTCCACAACCTGGGGCAGTGCTAGCTCTACGCAACCTGGGTCGACCACTTCATCCTCCCTCCCAGCACACACAGCTTCACCCTGTGAGAGGTGGGCTTCTGCTTCACCCTTCACAGACACATGCTCGTGGATCTCGACCTCCTCAGTTCGGACTCATTGACCAAGCCTGGGTCGACCCCCAGGTCACCCGAACGGCTAACTCTAAAGGTACACATGAACTGTCTTAGCAGGTTCCTTCCCGACCTCAACTTAGATGGAGTCGTGAACCAACTCCTTCCTCTGTCACTCTCCCGACATCAGACAAACACCTCGAGCCCTGGTACTTGAAGGTCTTCCCTAAGAGTACTATCTTGAGCCAGCCTTGAGTCATTCATGCACGTGCATCCCACAAAGGAACTCGGGGCAATGACTTGATGTCAGACAGAGGCCTCCAACCTCTAAGGAAAAACCTAGGCTGCCTTCTGTCTTTGGACCCCACTCCCCGTTCCAGCTCAAAGACACGGCCCTTGCATGTTCGAAAAAGGCAAGGCAGTCCAGGTCTTAGGCTCGCTTATGGAGTGAAGTCCACAGCTGTCTCAGGGTTAAACAAGAAAGAGGTCTTCAAATCCTGATCAAAGAAGCCTCCAACACAGTCAAGGTCGCCACCTTTGATGACCTCCTGCCTCGTAACCCCTTTTTTCCTCTCCAAACATCAGAGCCTAACCGAGTCCAAGAGTATTGCTGGGTCATCACTACTCGGAAGCCACGGTCCCAAGACCGTCACTACTCGGAAGCCACGATCCCAAGACCGTCAAGAACTGGTCCTCACAAGATCGGCATATAAGGCTCGGGTCCAGCCGGGACATGCTGAAGCCCTCTAGACGGACTTGTCACAAACCACTGACCAACCTCGGTAGTCCACTGTCCCGACAGGTTTTGACCCTCCAAAAGAGACGAGCAATGTTATCGTGATCAATGACCTGAACGACGCTCAAAAGGAGCTGATGAACAAGTTTAAGGAAATGATGCAAGCCATCCTTGGCAAGATGGAATGCCTAGAGGCCTCCAGGTCCCCTTCTTCGACCGAATCCCCATCTTGTGAGGACACAGTTCCCTGACAAACTCCTCCATCAAACCTTCCAAGACAGTTGTACCTCCTGCGCCATCCTTGGCAAGATGGAATGCTTAGAGGCCTCCAGGTCCCCTTCTTCGACCGAATCCCCATCTTGTGAGGACACAGTTCCCTGACAAACTCCTCCATCAAACCTTCCAAGACAGTTCTACCTCCTGCGGGGTCTCCCAAACCGACATAGATTCTATGGGACCTTTAAGAACAAGGTCCCAGGCATGCAGGAGAATCTTTTTAATTATGTTTTAATTAGGACATCTATTAAAATTTCTTGGGTTTACTAGGTAGGTGTTATATGAATAGGGATTAGAAGAAAATTGTAGGGAAATTGACATGATTTTGAAATAAAGAACTAAGAGAGCATCTAGAATATTCCTGATTAGGGAATTCTTTCTAGATTCCTCAAAATTTCTCCTAAGAGATCCTGCTTGGGATTTGCTGATACTCTCTTCTTCTTCAAATTTTCTATATCCACGATGCATCATTACCAAGGAACATTGTGAACCGGATTGGCTGGGACAGCCAAGTATCGCAGTTCCCATTTTGGCTTTTATTTTATTTTAAATTTTATTTTAATAGTTCCATATTATTAAAGCTAGCAGACAGGCGCATCATTCTCGCCTTAATCTGGGCACATTGGTAGTCAAAACAAGAGAGAAAACGAACTTGGTCTAAGTAGAGAGGAAAAGAAGAACAATGACTAGGCCCGAAAAGAATGCATATGACAAACGTCAACGTACAAATCTCCCACAAAGTAAAACCGGTCAGGAACATGATTAAAGCAGGCCACGGACAAATTTTGTCCCGGACCGGATGAAATTCGCTACAAAAAACAATCATATTCGCTACAAAAAACAATCCTATATAGTAGTAATAGTACAAAAAATAGAACAAGTTTCCCACTCCCACGCACTCAAAACAAATGAGAAAAGACGCACAAGCTTCAGTTGTGAGGATTGCTGCGGAAAGATCCCAAAGCTTTGATGGCAGCTGCTCTCAGAATGTATTGGTGATAGGCAGCAGCTGCCGCTGCGCCAACAAACGGCCCAACCCAGAACACCCACTGCACCAACAAAAACACCACCCAGTCTTTAGATGTATTGCAAATAATTTTTGTTACAAAGAAAAATGAAAACCTAGACACACAGATGAGTCTTAAATAGGTGGATAGTTAACTCTTTTTTAGTTACAGAGAAAAGTAAAACATTCAGAAAAAGGCATCAAGTAGTTACATGGTCATCCCAGGCCTTGTCGCTGTTGTAAATGACTGCAGCTCCGAAGCTCCTTGCAGGGTTGATACCAGTTCCGGTGATGGGAATGGTGGCCAAGTGCACCATGAACACTGCAAAGCCAATGGGCAATGGGGCCAAGACCTGCACCACCAACACCAACCTCCATATTTGTCTAAGCAAGGTAATGGAGGAAAAGATGGAGGAGAAGGGGATGGAAGTTTACCGGCACATGGGAATCACGAGCGCTTCTTTTGGGATCGGTGGCTGAGAAAACGGTGTAGACGAGAACGAAGGTGCCGATGATTTCGGCACCCAGACCCACTCCCTTGGTGTAGCCATGAACAACTTCGTTGGCTCCTCCACCGAGATTGTTGTACAAGGGCTTCATGAACGCTTTCACCAGCCCAACTCCGCATATGGCCCCCAGGCACTGGGCCACCATGTACATCACGGCCCTTACCAGTGAAACTTTTCTGGCCAAAAATAGCCCGAAAGTCACGGCAGGGTTAATGTGTCCACCTGAAAAACAACAAAAAGGACCATGATTCTACTAAGTTTCTCACTTTCTTTTATTCGAGAGACAGGAATAAGCAAGGTCGGGGAAGGGGATGTTACCTGAGATGCCGGCAGTGCAGTAGACAAGGATGAAGATCATGCCTCCGAAAGCCCAGGCGATGCCGAGAAGGCCAACGCCGCCACAGGGGTCTCTCTCTTTCTTGTAGCCTATGACGGTGGCCACTGTGACATAGAGGAAGAGCAAGGTGGCGATGAACTCGGCTATGAGAGCACGGTAAAAGGACCAGAGCTTCAACTCCCCCATGTCTAAAAGTGGAGCAGGGGGAGGATCCTGGTAGTCCTTCCCCTGCTGCTCTCCTCCCTCCATGCTCACCTCCTTTGACATATCTCTCTTGAATCTGCTGGCTTTGGCTGGTTGGGAATGAATGGTAAGCAATGGATAAGGTGAAGGACGTTGGATGGGTGCAGTATTTATGGGGAGCGCCAGGAGTGATGAGGTTTTCTTTCTTTAATTGATTATTTTTAAATGTATTTTTTAAATTAGTGAATATGTAAAAGGAATAAATTTTAGAAAAAAGTTTATATAAGGTTGCAATATTAAAATGTAGAATTATACTTGCACTCAAAACTCCATATGTTTTAATATTGTAAAACCTCTAATTGTTTATCTCGATATCAATATGTATGAATATGAAAAGAAAAAAAAAGAGTTTCAAAAATAATGTATCTTGCATTACATTATCTAAATCATCTATTTTCAATATTTTCATATAATTATAGATCTACTTGATTTTATCTATTTTTAAAATTTAAAATTTTATAATTAGATATGAAAATAAATTTTAAAATAATTCTAAAAATCTTTTTCACTAAAATGATATGCTATGATAAAATTTGAAAATGCGCTTTAATTGAATTCTTTAAGGTTACAACTTTATAAAAACCGCACCGTAAATTTTATGAAATATAAATAAAAAAGAGGAGGGTGGGGCCTAATAACAACTGTCTCACGGGGATGGCCCATTTACAACGCAGCATCCATGTGACTGTCTGACCTTTTTCTTTCTTTCCCTACAATTTTTTCCGTTGCATTTTCATGCACTACCCCCCACCTCGCCTACTTTGTCAAGTGTGTCAGCCTGTCACCACCAACCCCTCTCTCTAATGGAAAGACAACACATGTTTTATTTAACGAACTGAACATATCCCACTATTTGGGGATCCAGGAGGTCGGATTTTCTTTCTTTTGCATTCCTTCCTGATATCGCCCAACCACAGAATTGTACAGTTGAGTTGTATGTTTTTCTAGGGAAAAGTTTATATAGAACCGAGGCTCTAAACAATCAAATTAGAGCCTACCATCAAATTAGAGTTTATCTCAAAACTTTCAATAGAAGAGACTATTTTGATGTCTAAATATCATCAAATTGATTATCTCGACATCAAAATGCATGAATATGATAACAAAATAGATTTCAAGTTTTGAAAATAGTAAATCTTGTAATGCATTTTTTGACCGTCAATTTTCAAGATTTTCAAGTTTTCGTAGATCTGCTTGATGTAACTATTTTTTAAGCTTTAAATTTTATAACTAAAAATGAAAATATAATTTAAGGCTATCACAAAACTTTCTAGTATTGAAACCATATTTTTCGATACTATTTGAAGGTGGGATCAAATTTGACTATTTAGAGCCTCTATACGAGTAAAACCTTTTTTAATATAGTAGATGCCTTCTTATAAAAATAAATAAAAATAACGTAGTGATTCTTTTCATGGTGATTTGTTTTATGAGATTTTATACAATGAGACCACAGTAGGTTTGATATAACAATTACTTATAAATATCTGATATCAAATCTGATAGTCGGGAATGTCACAAAATTCAAAAAATAAAAAAATTAAATTGATAGCTAAGGTGTGTCACAAAATTCAAAAAAAAAATTCAGACTTTGAGTTTAAGAAATAGAATAAGTGTAATGATCCTATAGGACCTTCAATAACTTATATGTGTAGGATATCAAAGGATCATCATTAAAATTTGTACGGACCTCTAAAAAAATTATCATATGAATGTAAAACTTGACACTTTTATAAACCTGTATCAAATTTAATGGTAATCTTTTAAAATCCTACATATATAGATTGAAGATGGTCTTATATAATCATTTCTCATAAATAAAATCCAATCAATATTCAAAATTAATTGCGATCAAATTGCACAAAAAAACAAAATCATTCTAGACTAATTTTTTTTTCCCTCTCGTTGAGCGTAGGTGGAGAGGAGAGAGAAGTTATGGCGTGCTGGGCTACCCCATTGTAATTGGAGGAATAGGCCACGTCATGGGAAGTTATGATGAGTTTGGAAGATGGGACGGGACGGGGCCGGCTCGCTGTTCTTGCCGCCCATTCGCTGCACATGTATGACATGCCCTATCACAGAGGATGACAGCTCTTTCTTCTCCTCTATTCAAACTTTTCCTTTTATTTTAAATTTAGCTATTATTCTTCTCTGCTGTCACTTTACATCGATAAGGGGGCCTCTTGCTTTACCGACCCATTGGTAACTGCAAACTTCTCTCTCCAACGGCTCTCTCGCTCTACAACGTCTCTCGAGGGATGGTTCTGAAGAGTTCATTGTCCTCTAACGGCCACATTTTTAAAATGCGGTCCTACCCAACCCAAGTCATAAAGTAGTGTACTCATGCACAAAGTTTCATTCTTTTATTATGGTCCACTTTGCCCATGATCTTGGGAACCCTTTCGCCTATTTTGGACGGCGATAGAGCTCCAGATGATATTGAAAATAGGGTGCGGTTTATGTAAAGTTTGAACCAGTGTTTAAAAAAACGTCGAGGCGAACCGGACGAGTCCGGTTCGATTCGGGAATAGTTATGGACGGTTCGAATTGATTCGAATTGGTGAAAAAAAAGGGAATCGTCCGGTTCTAGAGAGAACCGGACGATTCTGCACAGTGACTCGTCGATTCATTGTATGGAATCGGTGAGTCCCGCACAGAA